TGTGGCACCACAGAAATAGGCAGGGCTGCTGGGGACACTGTCCGTTCTGTGAAGAGAGAGAAGCGCACTGGCTATTTAAGGGAAGGTTTCAGAAAAGCAAGCCAGCAAGCAAGCAAGCAAGCAAGCAAGGATGACTGCGTATGTTCCAGAGATCTGGTTTAATTTCCAGAGTGACATTGCAGATTTCCTGCTCCCTTGCAGGAAACCCAGATCCGCTTATGAGGTTCTTTTCCTGCTCATTTTTTCCCTCTCAATGACAACCCCTGAGGTGCTTTAGTGCGGAAGATCTGTGCCTGATCCAGTTAGCCAAGGAACTTCACGGCGGAGCAGGGACTAGGACCGGCTCTCGGGGGGCTCCGGCCAGCCCTCCTGCCCACCGCACCACAGCGGCTCTCATGAATGTTGTTTCCTGACTCTGGAGCGCCGCCCTCGTGGATATTATCTCATGCTGGCTGTTTGTAAGTCAACAGCTCGGTTAGAGATTGTGCCCATTTTACAGGTGTGGAAGCGAGTCACCTGGGAGACTGGTACGAAGACAGCTCTCCTGGATATTTTTAGTGTACTTACCCTGCGATTGTGAGGGGACACAAACACAGTGATGCTTCGGTTTGACATTTACGCACAACTCCGTTTTAAAGTTGCATGGGACCCAGCCTCTTTCTGAAGGAATGTGCGCTTTCCTCGAACTATTCACCCTCCAAGATTTGTTGGCCTACAACTCCCATCATTCCCCGCTGGAATGGCCAAGTTGAGGAAGGCTGGAGAAAGTAGTTCTTGGGAGAGAGACAGAAAATTGAGACTGGAGAAAGTACATCACCCTGCTGAGCCTATAAAGCCCTAAACGGCTTGGGACCGGGATGCCTGAAGGAACGCCTCCTCCCTTATATGCCCACACGCCCCTTAAGATCTGCAGTAGAGGCCCTGCTCCGGGATCCCTTCCTGAAGGAGGTAAAAAGACATCTACTCGGAGTAGGGCCTTCTCTGCGGTGATGCCCAGATTGCGGAATAAGCTCCCCAGAGAGGTTCGCCTGGCATCAAGTTTATATTCTTTTCAGCTCCAGGTTAAAACCTTTTTATTTAAACAGTATTTTAAAAATTAGCATTTTAATGGTTTTTAACATTTAATGCTTTTGATTGTTTTTATTATTTATTATGTATTGTTTATTGTTTTACTGAGATTTGTATTATCTTGTTGTAATTTATATTGAGGCTGTGCCAAAGGACAGCATATACATGTGTTAATAAATAAATAAATAAATAAATAAAATTGCATTATGCAAAGCTGAATTTGTTTGATGCAAACCTCCCTCCGCGTTTAATCTGGCCATATCGGTCGGGGTGCAGAGCTCAGCTCTGGGAGCGCCATCCAGCCTGCGACGACGCCTGTCTGCTCTCCAGGGCTCTACACAGATGGCCCCAATCCTGCCCGTTTCCTTTGACTGTGGCTCAGGCAGTGACTTTCTGGCTTTTGCACTCTTTCCCCATTTTAAAAAGTGGAAACGCCTCTTTTAAGTTACTGGCAGAAAGTGCTTTAAGCTAAATGTTTTGTTTTGTGTTTTTGCTTTCTGGTCCCACCCACCCATCCCTGGAAGGCACCCCTCAGATGCTTCTCTGAAACTGGATTTGACCATTGTTATAAAAGTTAACACAAGCAAACGTGAGAGGCATGCTTGGCCTGAACCTTCACAAGAAAATGCCAGAATTTTCTTACCTTTTCCAGCAATGTTCTGACCCTTTGATTAATTCTAAAATCAAACAAACTTGAATGAAAGGTCAAAATCAACACCCACTGTTTTGGGCATTTCCCCTAACAGGTGACTGGAAGGCTGATAGGAAGCTGGAGGGGTGGCTTTCAGATTGTGGATGGAGTAAACCCAACGAGACAATCAGGAATGGTGGGTCAACTTTCCCTGGAGAATTGAGCGAGATGGCTTTTGATTGTCCAGAACCTACTCAGGGGAACACGCTTTTTACAGAAAGGTTTTGAAACTAGCAGAAAAAGCAGACTCCCCCAAATAGGAAAACCGCAGAAAAAGCAGAGTTCCCTAAAGCAACATCGCCATCCGGTGGATCCCAGCGGTATTGCATAGAAGGAAATGGAGTCTTCTCTGGAAGATCATATAAAGCACAGGTGGTCGGCCGTCAGATGAGCGGGACCAACCTGGTTTTTATTCTGCTTTTTAGCTAGAAAGCTGGGATCTACCGGGTTCATAAGACAGTGTCTTGGAATTAAAGAATTCTGGGCATGAGGCTTTGAGTAACGGACTTGGATGGAACTCACAGTCCTGGTTCTTCAACATTTTTAAGACCCTGAGTGTGGGAGAGACTGGAACTGATGGAAGGGGGCTTTTGAGGATGACTTAACTCTTAAACATCTGTCTTTTAATCTGTGCTTCTCTTTTTTCTGGCAGGCTGCTCGTCTTTCATGGATAGACGATGGGCAGGTGAACACACGCCCCTTCAAGGTGAGAATGGCTGCACATCTTGAATTTGACCCGTGCAAATGGGTGAGAATTCCATTTGGGATCATTTTTATGCAAATTTACCCAAAGCCACACACTTCTTCATGTGCAGAATGGAAAGGACCTGAAATTTTAAAAACTGAATGAAGGAGAAAGAGCAACTGACCAGTGTCCTGACAATCAGCAACCAGATTAGTAAAACTGGCCTGCTCTTGCCTCGAGTACGGAGCCAGTGCCTACTTCTTTAAAAAAAATGTCTCCATTAAGAAAGGCTCTTGCATAAAACCTGGCCAGCAAGAATAGCTATAGTAAAATATTTTCCTTCCCCTTCCGAGCCTTTGATCTCACTGTGTTGAAACAAAAGAGCCAGAAAAAAGGAAAACTCTTGACCTCAGCAACTCCTACTCCACCTTTTCCTTCTGGCATTCCCAGCCGAGAATGTCAGCATACCCCTTCCAGTGCTCAACTTACTGGATGGGGGCAGAGGCAGCCAGCCTCTTGCCGTGAAAAGCTAAAGAAAGCCTCTGGGCACTCGTACTTCCAGCCACTGAATTCTCTCCAAGACGACATGCATGTTTGCCATGATCACGGTCTGCCTAGACGAAGCCAGCAGCTTAGACTGAGCAAATGGTGCACAGCAGGGAAAGCACCTTCCATATGTGTTGTTGTTGAGTTGCAAAGTTGTGCCCGACCCATCACAATGCCATGGACAACCTTCCTCCAGGCTCTCCTGGCCTCCGCCATCCCTCAGGGTCCACCCAAGCTCACACCCACTGCCCCAGTGACCCCATCCAGCCCCCTCATCCTCTGCCGCCCCCTTCTTCTTTTGCCATCTATTGTTCCCAGCATTAGGCTCTTCTCCAGGGAGTCCTTCCTTCTCATGAGGTGGCCAGAGCATTTGAGTTTCATTTTCAGGATCTGACCTTCTCAAGAGCAGTCAGGGTTGATCTCCTCCAGGACTGACCGGTTTGATCACCTTGCAGTCCAAGGGACTCGCAGGAGTCTCCTCCAGCACCACAATTCAAAGGCCTCAATCCTTCGGTGCTCAGCCTTCCTTATGGTCCAGCTTTCACAGCCATACATTGCAACTGGGACAACCATCGCCTTGACTATACGCACTTTTTCTGGCAGGGTGATGTCTCTGCTTTTTAGTATGCTGTCTAGACTTGCCATAGCTTTCCTCCCAAGGGGCGAGCGTCTTAATTTCTTGATGGGTCAATATACTCAGGTGTGAGTCAAGGCCACCAGACTCCTCAGCCGGATATGGAGGTGCATAATTGTGCCTTCAGGAGCCTCCTAGGATCTCCTTGCACAAGCTGGGCTGCTCAGCCCGTGTCCCTGGCTTCTGGACTGAAGGACACCAGAAGAGCTGCGCTGCACTCCACCCAGGGCCCACCAGACCAGTTTCCACAGGGCTCTCCAGCAGGGTAGGAAGGCAGCCGCTAAGCCCATCTCAGCCAGCTGGCAGCACGTTCTCAGTGGAGCAGTTTGCCACTGAATGTAGCCAGGACTGCATTCTCGGTTGAGGCCCTCCGTCCTTGGAACAATCCCCCCACCCGCCTGGTCTGGCTGGGGCTGAATCCGTCACCTTTTCGGCACCTGGTCAAGAGACCCCCCCTTTGGAGGCCTTTAAGGTTTTATTTGGCTGCCTAGTGCCTTGAGGATTAGTGGTTGTTGCCGAATCTCTCTTTTCGTACTGTTTTTCTAATCTGATGTTAAGAGTTTTAGTGGTTTTAAACTTTTAATGCTTTTGATTATTCTAATACTTTACTGGCTTTTTATCAATTGGTTTTATGGATTGTATAAACTGCCCGGAGAGCTTCTGCTGTGGGGTGGTATAGAAATGTCACTGACGATGAGGATGAGGAGGAGATTTGACCCCAGATTCTGGAGTGAGGAGCATCTGGATTTTCTGCACCAGGCAATGAAATGGTCCTTGTTCATTCTCAGCTCAGCAGACAAGGTCTCATGTTCTTTCTCTGAGAACAACCTTCCCCAGTCCGGTGCCCTCGAGATGTACTGGACTACAGCTCCCATCACCTGTGTGTGTGTGTGCGCACGCGTGTGAGAGAGAGAGAGAGACAGACGGACGGACGGACGGACTGACTGCATGTGGCCGCCCAGAGTTCTTTTACACGGAGCCCGTGGGTTCTGCAGAATCCTTCGCTCAGAATATAAGCCCCATGCTGGTGTGTTGGCAAACGAACTGCTTTATTCACAAGGCTCCCTGGCGGGGCCTTCGCACAGGCCGGCAGCCGGGGAAGAAGGGGAGGCACCTGGAGCTGCAGCGTTCTTGAGGGGAACCGTGCAAAATTAATCTGCTGCCCTAGAAGACAGCGCAGAGCGGAGGGGGCAAGCCCAGCTGTTCCCCCGCGTGCATTTGCCTTTGGGCCCTGATCCTACAGAGACACGCTGCTGGCTTGCAGCGTTCGCCGCCATCTTGCCCCCCTTTGCTCGTGCGTCTGCTGGAGGGGGGCTTCAGCGCCACGCCTGCTCTCGGCGAGGCCCGGGCACGGTCCGCGAGCATCGGTCCTCCGCTCACGCCGGGCAGCGGAAGCTGCAGAAGTCGGCCGACTTGAAGAGGCTGTAGACGTTCACCAGGGGGAACATGACCAGGGCCCCCAGCAGTGAGCCCAGCTGCTCCATCGCACCATACCACACGAGGGCGCTGTGGCTGCGGCTCCTCAGGATCACCCCGGTCATCACCTTGACGTAACTGAGCGTCCCCGTGAAGAGCACCCACGAGGTCACCTGCGGGCACAGAGCGGCGTGAGGGAGGGCTGCGAGAACGGGGGGACCTTCCCACCCGAGGCTGAGGCCGGCCAGCTCCGCCCTTCGGCAGCTCCAGGAAAACTGCTCGGCCTCAGAAAAGGGCGAGCGAGGGAGACAGGACAGAGACGGGCAACATCCAGGGAGGGGAGGGGCAGGGAGATTCCCCCCTTCTCTCTCATCACACGGGAGCCCAACGGGGTCCTCCCACGAAGGCGCTGGGCAGGAGGTTGAGGACAGGTCCGAGGAGGTCCTCCACACGGTGCAGAGTCAGACTGTGGGTGCGCTTCCACGAGGTGGAGCGATGGCCGCCCCGCTGCAGGGCTCCCGGCTGGAACGGACAGGGCCTCGCAGGAGAAGCCTGTCCGTGGCCACGGGTCTCTGCACAGCAGTCGCCGGGGAACATGGGCGGGGGGGCCATTCCGCTCCCTCCTGCGTGTGGGACTTCCCTCTGGGCACCAGAACGCTGAACAAGAGGGACCCTCGGACTCGCCGGTCCTTAACGCTGCAGAATCGGCTCGGAGCCCGTGAGGCTCAGCCGCCAGACACCTCCAGGAGTCCGCAAGCCGGAGCTGAGGGGCAGCTTCCCCCTCGGCTCCCTGGCCCTGCTTGCTCCGGATGCGCTGACCGGGACCCTCGGCTGTCCAGGGGGTTTGAGGCCCGGGGCGTGAGGGGCCCCTACTTACAATGAGCGCGTCCCCCCAGTCAGACTGCTGCAGGAGGGGGCAGGGGCTCATGGCAGCCATGCCCATGTTGTAGACCCCGAAGGCCGTTCCGGTGGCCGAGAGCACGCCCAGAAGAGAGAGCGACCTGGCGGAGGAGGAAGCCAAACCAAACGGTCAGGATAGCGGGGATGGCTGAGTGCCCGACGGGGCCGGGGGCTTCAGCGGGCAGTGGTTCGGGGATCCACTGAGCCCAGCTGCAGGGCGGAGAGGCTTGAGAGGACGAGGAAGGCTTCAGCGAAGGGCTGCCCGGGCGGTAGAAAACAAACTGTGCGAGAACCTTTTCGTTTCAAGGTGGCAACTCCTGGGTGGACCTGAAGGAGGATGGGCCCAATCCTACATGTTCAGACAGAAGCAAGGCCTGCGGCTGGCTGGGACTGGGCTGCCTGGGGCATGCTGGGAGCCACAGCCCCTTTCCTGTCTAAGCACCTGTAGGGTTGCACCTTAAACTCATCAAGCACCTGTGGAATTGTGCCCATCCCAGTCTGGCTTGGCATAGAACTTGGGGGAAATGGCTTTGGGAAATGCCAGCTGCCAGTAAATAAAATATCTAGTTATTTTGGGGACTCGTACCGCCTGCATTAACAGCTTCCTGTTGTGATGTCTGAGCAGCAATGTGTCATTCTGGCTGTCCTTGACGGGGAGCAGCGCGGCCCCCAAGCTGGAGTGGGGAACCTGCAGCCCGCGGGCCGTGTGCCTCCTTTTGCTCCTGTTTCTTCCAAGCCAGCTGGGCCCAGCTGTTCCAACACATGCCGGGCAAAGGCCGTCCTGCCTTTCACAACCCCTGCATTTCCCCGTGAAAGGCAGCCATTTCTCTGCCTCTTTCATGAGGGAGGCAGAGGGTTTCATGGGCGTTCCTCAGGGTGCAGGGCTTCGGTCCTTGACGATGGCAGCGGAGGGGCGTGGGCTCCGCTGCCGTCCCCATCCCGGTCCTCCCTGTTCTGCCTTGGCAGCCTTGGGTTGTGCGTCTTGGAAAGCCCCGTACATCTTCTCCCTAGAAGCTCCTGCTCCCTTTTGCTTTTCTCACTATGCAAGACGCGAGAGAAGCCTTCACTTCTCCAATAGCTTCTTGGACCCTCCTTGTAACCTGGCTGTTCTCTAGAAATTTACCCCTTTGTTGTGACGAGAACATGCATTTCTCCCATCAGTGTGGGAGACTGTGAAATTCCGGTTTGGGGGCTCCCCGGTTTCCTTTTCCAGGCCGTATCCAGCATTCTGGACTGGGAACAAGAGCACTTCTGGGGAAGGGTCGGCCCCTCTTCGCTTCCCTACTCCGCTTGACACTGTGCTCCGCTTGATGTAAACATCGGATGCCCTCCCCTGTCCTTCCTTCCTGAGGAGTTTGCCTCCAGCAACGCCCGGGTCCCGTTCCCTCAGTTCCCCACAATGCCCATTCTGCCCAGGTTCTCCTTCAAAGCCAGCAGCCCACCTTGGACGCTTCTCGCATGAGCAGAGAAAGACTCAAGTTCGGCGCCCTCCCCGATGACTCTGGTTGGTGCCTCTGCATTCCAGTTGATGGGGAACATGGGCGGGAGCGTGCCGGTGCACCCCTGAGCGACCCATGGCTTCCCCACAGGCAGTGGGTCGGCCACTGCATGATCGGGATCGGGGCTAGACGGACCCTGGCCTGGTCCAGCGGGTGGCTCCTGCTGTTCTGATGAACCTAGTGGGTACAGCACAGGAGCGCTGACGTACGGATGAAGGGCGCTTACCTGCTGGGCAGGAACAGGGCGATGGTGCACGCGACGGGGTTGGCCATGGAGCTCAGCGTGGCGGCCAGGTGGTAGGCCGTGTTGCTGTACGGCAGGCAGGAGTAGCTCTGCACGGACGGCAGGATGCCGTTGGTCAAGGCGTTCACCCAGAGCACCAGAAAATAGATGAAGACGGTCCTGGGCCGCGAATGAGCCGCCTTCTCAGGGTCGCCGCCCTCGCCTTCCTTGGTGCAGCTCGCCACGTTTCCGTCCAGAGGGGAGCTTGAGAAGCCCCCTAAATCTGCGGGGCCTTGTCCTTCCCCAGGAAGCTTCTGCAGGGAGTTGAGGGCAATGTCACTGGAGCAGAGGTTCTGCTTGGAGAGCTCCCACACCTTGGGTATCCGGTTGAGGAAGAAGAAGGCCACGAGGCAGGAGAACATCATGGCGGACAGGAAGAGGAAGAAAACCAGGCTGGAGAAGTTGGCAGGGGAGTAACGAGTTTCCATGGACTCTTCCGCAGTCCCGTTCCCAAAGGTCGCGTTGCTGACAGCTGATCCGTTGCCGTTTGGCGGCCCGACGTGGACGCAGGTGGCAATCCCCACACCCTGGACCAGCGCGAACAGGGCCGGGATCAACCCGCTGAGGCCTTCGCCGATGAAGAAGCTGGTGACGTAGCAGGGCTGGAGGTGTGCCATGAACGGCAGGAAGGTGACGGAAGAGGTGCAGTCCACCAGCGAAAGGAAGAAGGCCAGGATGAAGAAAGCGGTGCTGTGCGGCTGGCCGGCCACGGGGGTGGTGTGCTGCCAGAGGAATGCCAGGAGGAAGCAGGAGACGACTCCCGTGGAGACCACGAGGTAGATGATGGGCACCTCGCTGAGCCTGCCGGGCTGCAGCTTGTGCATGAGGGTGATGAAGAGCGGCCCGATGTTGGCCAGTTGGATGATGATGATGAGGTAGGAGGGGAGGTACCAGCCCTCGGGCAGCTCATTCACCAGCAGGGGGAGCTCCACCCAGACGCCGTTGATGGCCATCCAGGAGCCCGTCCCGAAGATGCAGGCCAGCAGGTGGGTGAGCCACGCCATGGCTCTCCTGCGCCGCCCAGCGAGGGGAGCCTAATCCCTGTGGCAGAGGAGAGGTGGGTGAGTGCGGGCAGGGCAGGGCAGGGCAGGGCAGGGCAGGGCAGGGCAGGGCAGGGCAGGGCGTGCGCCTCCCTCCAGCCGTCCGGACAGGCATGGCACCGACATCCGGCATGCGCACGGCCGGCCAGCGTGGGGATTTCCCCAGCAGAAGCGAGGTGGCCGCTTACCAATTGCCCAGGACGACGACGAAGGGACACCGATGGGCATAAAATGTGCACAGCTTAGCAACTCTTTGCTCAGACAGGCACAGACAAGTGCTAATTCGCATGTACACGTGCAAATCTTTGCCGTCTGGATCCTTTTGATCGCAATCAGCCCATTGCTGGTGGGGGGTGGTGGCCAGAGGGGGTGGTGGGATGCGCAGTCTGCCGCACAGGCAGTGTGATGCGCCCCACTGCTGCAGAGGAAGCCGCTGTGGCCGCGCGCCAGGGCGGTCATTGCAGGCCCGAACAGGGCACATTGCCGGGCCTTCCGTGGAATGCAGTGCCGTGAGGTGCTTGCTCCTGAAGACACTCACCTGTCCCGGCACGAGCGGCCAGGCAGGCGACCGCTCCGGGCAGCCCACCTGCCTGGCCAGTCTCTGGTTCTGGAGTCTCCTGAAGGGCTGCCCCCACAGCGAGGACACGGGAGTTCACCCCACAAGCATCCTTCTCACCGGGAACTTGGGCTCAGGTCACGGCAAAGCGGACCGGCATCCTGGGAACCAAGCCAGGCAGTCCATCGGATTCCTGGCCCCAGTGTGGATTCCGCCACATCCCTCCGGCCACTGCCCCTCCCCGTTGCTGCCCGAGCACGGGGCTCCCCCGGCCTCACAGGGGGGCTGGTCCTGTGTTCCGCCTGCTGCCCAGGCGCCAAATGCTGGTGGGCAATTCTTGCCCAGGTTTTACCTTTAAAACAGGACGGGGCAGCAGTGCAAATGGAGGACACCTGCAGGCAGAGGACTGCCCTCCCCAAAGGAGGATGCCCGGCCTCCTCAACGTGCCCGTGCCGCATGGGGCCCGTGACTCAGGCCTTCCCCATCGGGGCTGGGGAACAGAGGAGGAAGGTGCGTGTGGAGAGACGCACGCCTGGTCTTCCTCCTCAGCTTCAGGCCATGCTCTGTCCAGAGAGTTGCCAAGGTGGAAGGACTGCGAGGAGGAGGAGGAGGAGGAGGAGGAGGAGGAGGTGCTTGCCAGCTTGCTGAACCTGTCAGAGGTGAGTGTGGTTTTGCTTTCACTGTCAGCTGCCTAAGTTTCAAGCATTGCACCATAACTTTGGGGCCAGGGATGGTTTGGAAAAAGCGGGCCCCGACCCTCTCCTAGAGCCTGCGCTTTGCGTTCGGAAGGCCGATTCGCTTGCTCGCCTTGTGGCATTTCTTAGCTGCTTCCCAAGACTGCAGTCTTCCAATTGTTTACTTAGAACACAGATCGGTAAAATTCAGTATACGGTTGGAAAGGGACCTTAAAACGTAAGCTGTTTCAAAATGAGCTGATTGTAAATATTTGAAAGGCTGTTCTATTTCAAAGCTGCAAATACCATAAATCCTTTTTCAATTAAAAACCCGGGGGTGGGAGCAGGTTTGTTTTTGAAGGCCTCTTAAAAGCAGCCCTGAGAGGAGCCAGCACCTCTCTCTCGGGAGGAAAGCCTGCAAGTCGGGGCCGCTGCGAGGAAGGCTTCTGCTCCAGTGTCTGCCAACCTCATGACTCTTGGTGGCTACTCCTGGGTAGGGCCTCCCGAAAGAAAGGGACAGACAGGCAAGTTCGGCCAGGGGGACACCGTCCTTCAAATGCCCTGCACTCTGGATGCCTTTGGGGTCTCGAGACCAACAGCAACATTTTGAACTGGGCCCAGAAACTTAACCTGGCACCGAATGCCACTGGTGACGCATGCGGCTGGTGGAAAGCTGGCAGTACGAAGTTCGGCTCCCACAGAAGTGGTCCAGCTCCAACCAGCTGCTTACCGAAAACCCACCGGCAGGACAGCACCCTCCCACCCATGTTCCCCAGCAACCGGTGTACACAGGACTACTGTCTCTGAAACGGGAGGGAGCACACGGCCACCGGGGCCACCATGCCCACAGCCCCCCCTCCCTGGATGTGTCCAAAGCCCTGGGGAAGCCATCCCGGCGTGGGGGCCAGGAGCAGGTGCCACGCAGCTTCTCCCCTCGTCTGACAGCGCCACCTTACCTTACCGTTCCTGGGCGAGCAGCATCCCCCCAGCCCGGAGGGGAGCGTCGCTCAACCCGTGGCCAAGCACCCGCGGTGCGGATCGGCTCTCCGAGCGAGCCGGGTGCGCCAAGCGCCGGCTGCCTCAAAGGTGGGCCCCAACGGACGGAGGCCGCATTCTGCTCGCGTCAGAGTGCTGTTTGGTTAAATACCTGGGCGTCTGCCAGGAGCTCCACCTCACAACACAGCATGAGCAACAGAAGGAAGTTCAGGGCTGCCCTTTGCGCTCCGCAGAAAAGCCGCTGAGCAAGTTCCGTGAGACGGCTTACGGTCCTGCGCTGCTTGTAGCCCCTCGGCCATGGCTCGAGCCCCCGGCTCGGTCTAATTGCCCCACCGGGGGGGGGGGGCTGCTAGCAGGGAGGGAAGGGTTAATTCTCTCCTTCCTGCATGATGCAACCCCACCCATCCTCCCCAGCATTTAAAGGCACGATCTTGTGTGTGTTTGGGCAGAAACATGCTTTCTGCCCATGCATGCCCAAGACAGTTCTAAGCAGAGAGTTCTTTCTTCCCATTAGTTCGGGGTGATCAGAATCATCGAGGAAATGAACCAAAGTTGTTGGGGCTTTTTAAAGTAAAATGACCTGCAAGAGAAAGTCTGCGACTGACTTTGCCTCCTGAGAAATATAGATCAGTCCTAGCTGTGACCTCTAGCTTTGCACGGGTAGTGAGTGAGTTCCCCGTTTTGCCTGGCACGGCTGAGAGGCCGTCATCTGCGCTGGTGCCCAAAGGTGCCAGCCTGGGCCATGTTTGTGGCTTGCCGTTCACAGGCTCCCAAGAAAACCCTTCTGGGGCTCGAACTACCGTGCACCTGCATGAATTGCGGGGTGTCTGGCGAGGAGGGAGGAGGAGGCAGAGGAGGAGGGCACCCCATCGTGGGGCTTCTGGGCCCGGGACAGGCCAGCCTGGCGGGACCTGTCCAGCGTTTCGGAGGGGCTGCCCACACCCCTTCGCCAGCTCCCTCTCCTGGTCCCGCTGGCCGGCTTCGGCCACTCCTGTTGTCCATTCGTGGAGGCCGGCTTGGCGTGCACCGAGGTCTCAGCCATCCGGGGTTTCATTCTGGGCGGGCGAGCTCGGCTGCAGCGTGTCCCCGATGCTCTGCACAGCCCCCGCCCGGCCTGCTGCAGCCGTGACCCACGGAAGCACCGCCCTGGCCTCCACGGGCAAGGGTGGCCCAGCTGTGGGGGAGCAGTCCAGGCACCCCATCACAAGGAGGCCGCACCCCCCTGTGCCAGCCCCTCCTGCACAGCCGGGGGACTTTTGCGATCATCCACCCAGGGACTGACAGATGCAGGAGATTCCCGAAGGTGCTGGGCATCGGCAGCGAGCGCTGGTGAGTCCGCCGAGGCAGTGGCAGCGCCACGGAGCGGTGCGAGAAGCCGTTGGCACAGCCGCGCCGGAGTCCCGCAGGGGCGCCGTGGAGTTTGGATCATTCCTTCGCTGCCTGGAAGCTTCTGCCCAGGAGGCTGCTGGAAGCCAGTGGCCAGGGGCACATCGTCAGGGCACCCAGCCGGCCAGCGAGCACGTAATCGAGCTGGTCCGCTCGCCCTCTCCACACGGGCCTTCCTGCCTCTCTCCCTGGCTCACCCTGCTTGGCCCCCTGCTTCTCCCGTGCTATTTCCGCCTTCCTCCCAGCCCAAAGCCACCGCCTTGCTCTCTCCCAGTTGCCCCCTCCAGCTTGGCTGTCCCCCCACACCACCACACACGCCGCTTTCGCTCAGCTTGGACTAGCCGGATCCCTGCAGCAGCCGCTTCGTGACCAGCTGCATCCACAGCCACCCTGATCCCCAGGGAGGCCCACGCCTTGCTCGCCTCCTCTCGGACGAAGAAGCAGGTGCCAGCTCCCAGCGAGCCCCGAGAGGAAGATGCGAGAGGAAGACTCGGGCAACTGCCAGATGCAGACCTGCCCTCCAGAGGAACAGGGCTCCTTCCGAGTAAGGCTCCACCCCGAGCCCGGCTTTCCCTCCGATGGAGCTCATGAGCCACAGCTGGCACCGGTGCGGCTCCCGGACCTCGGTCCCAGGCAAAAGGTGCTGGAGCCACTGCTGAAGCATCAGCCCTCAGATCCCCGCCTCGTACTCCCTGGCTGCACCCCCTTCCTTGGATTCACCTCTGCTTGACTCGGGGGGGCCGACTGGCCTGTTCAGCGAGGGCCGGCCCAGCCAGGAGCTTGGCCGTCAGCCGCGCTCCCTCACCTGCTCTGCCCCTTCTGCTCCGTTCCAGCAGCGGGTCTTTTCTGCAGCCTCTTGCAGCTGGGAAATGCTTGCTTATTTCCTAAATTATCTGGGACACCAGCTGGTCACGAGTGCCTGAGTTCAGCTGGATAAGTACAGAAGGTAGGAAAGGATGAGGCTTGGGGGAAGTTAATGATAGGCCCGTTAAAAAGGAACTTTAACACTGGAGGCCAAAGAAAGCAACTTAAAAATCTACCTTTGACCCTCAGTGCAGAGCAGAGAGACACTTCTGGCCAGACACCCTTCACAGCAATTTCCCGGTTCATTGAATGTGCAAATGTTGTCCACAGACGACGCGGGAAATGCCAAGAGATGGGCTGACCTCGTTGAGTCAGATGCTGTTAGCCACTTTCTATCATTCGAGGATCGCTGTTACTGTCTTCGTAGGGCAAAGAAACACAAAAGCAGCTAGTATGATACAACGATGCGGCGGCGTGGCTGAGAGCGCGGGACCAGGCGGCCTGGGTGCTACTCCCCATGCCGCCATGGGGCTTCCTGGGTGGCTCTG